GAAGTAACGCTAGAGTAGACTCGCGAAAAGTGTATAAGACACTTTTAAGATCAACTAAATAGCTAAGCCCAAGGGAAGTCGTTCGGGGAGGCCCTCCCTAATTCCACAAGGGTGAGAAGAAACACACACGATAACGAAACGTTGAATCATGTAGAACTCGTAGGGTAAATGCAAAGCAAAATAGGAAGAATATGCAGTAAGCTAAGCGAAGAGGTAAGCAAGATTAGACTATACTACAACTATTAAACTTGTTATTTCTATTACTACACTACTACTATTACAAAAAAATAAAAACATCTACAATCAACAATTACTTCAAATAAAATGAACAAAAATAAGAATGCAAAATAAAAACTAACTCAAATTAACTACAAAAAAACATGCAAAATAAAAAATTAACTTGAATAAAATGGACTTAATGAATTCTACTAGATAGAGCATGCAAGATAAAGAACTATTTTAAGTATGGGGTCATCTATGTCTTCTTCAACGTCGATCTGAAACAAACACGGTGGTAACAGATTAATAAAGAGCAATTAAAATTAATTATATCAAGTATTCTCACCTTAATTAACTGTAGAACGTAATGTTTCAAAGTTTGCAGGTGTGAAAAGCAAACCAACTTCAGGAGAAATACCATAGCAGAAAATTTGTTGTTTCACTGGAATTCCAATAAATCTCCAGTTGCTCTCACTCGTCGGTTGAAAATTGACTGCATAATATTGCAAGATGAGGACAAAACAGCAAAGAATAAACTCCACGAAAGACCACACCCATCTAGCCATTGGTATTCAACCTGAACTTTAATTCTCTCTTTTGTTGGATAACCTGTAGGAAAGGACAAAAAGACTTATTAATTATCCTACTAATTAAGAAACACATTAAACACAACGAAAAACGCACCAAAAAAGCAAGTAAAACAGCTGAATCATAAAATGACAAGCGTTATTTTTACGCCATTTTATATCACAACCATAGATCCCGACATAGATAAATGTCAAATAACACGACATCAATTTATTATGCGAATAATAGATAAAGGTTAAAAAGAAATCCATAGATCAATGACAAACATCCATCGACGTTTACTAATATACGTCTATGCAAATATCAATATATTCTGTGGAAAATAATTGTTAAGAGCATAGTTAATGGACGTGCCTTAGCCGTATGTCGTTGTAATAGTTTCTTGGCTCGAAAAGTGAGGGAGATGGCGTATAGTTTTGGACTAATGCTATCTCTTTCATGTCACCTTACGCACTATCGTGAGAGAGATCGATATATCGATATTGTCCGAAACTTTCGTTGTACCACAATTCTGACCGGTAAGGCCGTCCATTAGTAGACGTGGATGGTTAAGAGGTACAGATGCAGAATAACCTCAATTCATACTGTTGACAATAGATAACTGTTAACAGAATTTCCATGGTAAATTAATAAAGATCAATTAATATTAATGAAGTCATGTATCCTCACCTGAATGAATTGTAGAAAGTAGCATTCTAAAGTCTACCAGTACGATGGGCAAACCAAATCTACAAACCACTGAAGATAATTTGCCCTTCCAGTAGCTTCCGAATTAATGTACAATTGTCTCCTATTCTCAAAACCAAAATTAAGTACTTAATGCTGCAAGGTGAACACATCAAAAGCGTCGGTTGTTTTAATATCACCAGAATTAATTCCTTCTCAGTTATTGGTGAGCTATAGAACCACGCAAGAAAAAGGTTTATTAATTACCACTTTTAAAACAAGTAAATTAGCAACATTCACACTGATAAAAAGATCAGTTCCACATTAATCCTACTGTTCAGTTTAAAAGTTGTTTACTGAAGCAAGTTATAAATGTCTTATGTCTCCTCTCCCAATGCAAAAAAGGCACTTTCATGCTTTCCTTAGGACCATAGGTACAGCTACTTTCTATAGCAAATGAGGACTAATACAACCAGTGCTCCATAAGTTAATGGTATCTTGAGTTCTTCTAATGTTCTTGTAGAATAAATTCTATGAAAAAGTATTCAGATATAATTAATTTATGTGTAAGTAAGCAATGATACATTGTTAAAGTATTGCCAAACCCTTTTCTCTGTTAATCTTACTAACTACATATATAATATAGCATGTATGCCCACCTCAATCAATTAAATATAGGAGCTTTCAAAATTGAAAGTTAACAAATAAAACACCATAGAAAGGAGACAACTTGTTTTTTCAGTAGCATCAAAATTAATTTCAATCTCCACACCAGTTTATCTTCAATCTGTAAAAATAGAGAAAAACGAATTGACTATTGTATGGAGTAAATAGGTAATGAAATTGAATAAAAACATACAAAAAAGCAAGTAAAATAGTAAAATTTCTACTTTTAAAATGGCGATGTGGCGTGGTTCCTCTTTCAAGATAAGATGTGTCATAGATGCATATAATAATTATATCAAAATAGACATCCGTTACGCGGAAAATTTAAATATTTAATCCTTATACCTTTTCTTCCGACTCTCAAATTAAGTCAAAATATATACAGGAAATGAACAAAAAAAGAAATAAACACTNATAGTTGTGAACAATAGATATTTAAAAGAAATATTATACATACGCCAAAATGTCAATTTATACTGTAGACAATAGATAATTGTTAAAACAAATGCCATTACAGATTAATAAACAGCAATTAATATTGTCATGTATTCTTACCATAATTTATTGTAAGGGGCTACCAGTATGATGAGCAAATCTAGGAGGAGCGCCACTGCAGACAATTTGTTGTTTCACTGCTTTCCAAATTGATTTCCATTTTCAGGGCCAAAATTAATTGCATACTTAATGTTGCAAGATGAAGGCATCAAAAGCGACGGTTGTTTAAGTAGCACCAAAGTTAATTCCTTCTCGCTTGTCAGACAATCTATAAAAAAAAAGGGGAAAAAAACAGTAACTAACTACCACTTTTAAAACAAGTAAATCAGTAACATTCACACTTATGAAAAGATATGTTCCACATTAATTCTGCTGTTGTATTCAAAAGTTTTTTATTGAAGCAAGTTATAATTGTCTTCAGAAATAGAAGTTTCTGGGACCTCATTTACTATTTTCAATTGATACTGTTACATACCAGTTCATTTCTTTATCACACTATCTCCATTCCCAATGGAAAAAAAGGCACTTTCATGCTTTTCTTAAGACCATAGGTACAGCTACTTTCTGGGGCAAATGTGGACTAATACAACCAATGCTCCATAATATAATGGTATCTCGAGTTCTTCTAATGTTCCTGTAAAATAAAATCTATGAAAAAGTATTCAGATATAATTAATTTATGTGTAAGTAAGCAATGATACATTGTTAAAGTATTGCCAAACCCTTTTCTCTGTTAATCTTACTAACTACATATATAATATAGCATGTATGCCCACCTCAATCAATTAAATATAGGAGCTTTCAAAATTGAAAGTTAACAAATAAAACACCATAGAAAGGAGACAACTTGTTTTTTCAGTAGCATCAAAATTAATTTCAATCTCCACACCAGTTTATCTTCAATCTGTAAAAATAGAGAAAAACGAATTGACTATTGTATGGAGTAAATAGGTAATGAAATTGAATAAAAACATACAAAAAAGCAAGTAAAATAGTAAAATTTCTACTTTTAAAATGGCGATGTGGCGTGGTTCCTCTTTCAAGATAAGATGTGTCATAGATGCATATAATAATTATATCAAAATAGACATCCGTTACGCGGAAAATTTAAATATTTAATCCTTATACCTTTTCTTCCGACTCTCAAATTAAGTCAAAATATATACAGGAAATGAACAAAAAAAGAAATAAACACTCGTATTAAATAATTGAAATATAAAATAAAACAAAAATACGTAACCAAAAGCCACCGTCAAAAAGGAATAAAATGACAAAATTTTAAAATGGCGACGTGACGTCTATTTCAAGACATACCTTTAACAATTTTGTCAATTTAATTTATGCTGTGGACAACTGCGAAGAATAATAATATAGTATGAATCAATCACTCTAAACTTTCAGGGTATTACACGTAGAATAAATAAAACTAATTCTGCGAAAAAATTAGCCCAGACGCCAAAAAATATCCCACCGCTACAAATAACTATTAACTTGTAATGATCCGAACGCCTTTCAAGCTTGCCACGAATTTACGAAAACTACTGCATGAAGCACTGATGACGCGTATAAAACGCCAATCAGAAGCATCAAATTCGATTTCGCGGCAAAAGTTTCGTAATTTAACCAATCGCGTAACTACTTTCATCCCCGTTTTACAGAACTGAATTTATGTGTTTTTGTTGCCATCGCCTGATCACAACTTCAAAAATAACTGAATACAAGAGCGAAAGAGATAGTGAAAACTTGAAAAAGGAAACATTAAAGAAGATAATGATTCTAGATCTAAATTGAATTACGAATGTTCTGGAATATAAGTTATTCACAGATGAGACAAAGACCTGCTTTGAAAATAAAATAATAAATAATAAAAATAGAAAATAGTTTTTC